GATGTTTGCACTCGCCATTCCTCAGTAGACATCATTTTGACTGCCCTCTTCGGATGGTCATTTCAGAGGAAAATCGAGACCAATACAAAGAACCGTATCATCTTGTCTGACGTACGCTCAGACGTCGATTTGTCTCCGGGTCGACGAGGAATTCCAGTAAAACGGTTGCAGATAAATCCCAGGTTGCGAACGTACGATCTACCTCTAAAAGGGGGAAGTGTCAGGACACGCCCGGACATGAAAAATTGCACATGTGCAGAGAGTTCATTATCGGTACGACACGTCCGGAAAGTAGGTGAGTTGGCGCCTCTCACCAAACACGGCTTAGCAATATACGACCAGCGTAGTGGGCCTGAACACGTCCAGTACAGAACGAACAAGTGAAGGGCCAGATGGACGGCCACCCACGTTACCACACTGGCTAACTGGTATCGCAATTCCGATTTCATCTGAACAGCTTCAGTCTCTCCTCAGACAGCAGCAGTAGGCGCAACAGTTCGAGGTGGTGAAGTTGAAGCTGATCGAAACACTTACTGAAACATTATCACTACAGAAGCCGATCGGCCGGACTATTGAGCCGTCAACTTCAGTGATCGACACGATCCGATCTCATGCATTACATTTGATTCGTGGTTCAACAAGAATGAGGATGTTTTCAGATTAGATCTGGGAAACACAGAAGAGTCCTGGAAAGCAAGAGAGTTGGTCTCAGTGTCCGAGTGTGCCGGAGTGTCCGAACATGAAAGTTTTATGAACTACATTTTGCCTCGAAGACCAAGTGACGTGACGTTCGATGAACCCGTTGCTGTTTTATCGTCAATATTCTGAGAACAGGCTTCCTCGTTAAGTCTTCGATTTCACTGTATGAATTTGAGCGAAAATGCTGCTGAAGACTGGGTTACTTACGCGGGCAAAGCCAACAAAGAGTGTGAACGATTCATACTCCGAAACATGACAGAGGATGAGTTCAAATGTCTTATATTTGTGTGCGGATTGAAGTCTCCTGAAGACGCGGATGTAAGAACAAGAATCCTCAGCAAAATTGAGCAGAACACAGATGTCCCATTACAGAATATTACGCCGGAATACCATCGCCTGATGAATTTGAAGCGTGATACTGTCATGATAGAGGAAAATGGTCCCAGCAATGCTGTTCATGCGATTCAGAAGCATACTGTCCGTCAGGGTGCCAAGAAGTCACCTTCGGCATGCTGAAAATGTGGTCAGCGGCATTCCGTCAATTTTCGTCCGTTCAGAAGACACCGCTACAGCAGGCGCTCCCGTTTTAGACACAATGAAGATCGGTGTCACGGTGAGAAAAAGCAAGCACCCAAGAGGCATTTTCGAACTAGAATTTCCCATTCCAAGCTTCGTAAGGCTCGCGTTGTTTTGGCCGCTCATCAACGCCCACACGTAAACAGGATGAAATACGTATCAGTGCGTATTAACAGCACACCTGTTCATCTCCAGCTGGACACGGCATCAGACATCACGATCATCTCAACAAGAACGTGGAAGCTACTTGGCAGCCCAGCATTAAGCAGAACCAAACAAGTTGCACGCAGTGCATCCGGAAGTTTACTGAAACTCTGTGGTGAGTTTAGTTGTTCCATTACTTTGACGATACCATCGTTAGTGACAGTTGTCATGTTTCCGATCATCCTGGTTTGGATTTGTTAGGATTAGATTGGATTGACAAGCCAAATCTTTTGGACAGGCCACTCAATAATATATGCTACAAAACACAGGCGACAAAACCGAATACAATTCAGAAACTGCCTGATGCTTTCTGGAAGAAGCACTCGAGCGTGTTTGCTGACTGCCTCGGTCTGTGCACCAAATTCACCGCTGTTCTGACGTTCAAGCCAGGATCGCAACCTGTTTTTCAGCCTAAACGCCCGATCCCCTATGTAGCAATGACTCTTGTAGTCATCATCAAAGACAGCAACATCAGTGTTGCCACTGATGCTTCACCGCCGTATGTAGAACAAGAATTGAATAGGCTTCAAGCAGCTGGTGTAATCGAGCCGATTAATTACTCATCTTGGGCGGCGCCCATTGTCGTCGTTCGAAAGGCAAACGGGTCCATCCGGCTGTGTGCTGCTCTGGAGGCACATCACTACCCAAACCAGTACCAGTAGCTGAAGGCTTGTTTGCGAAACGAAACGGGGTAAATGCCTTGCAAAGCTTGAATTGGCAGATGCCTACCTACAAGTTCCAGTCGCACCCGAGTCTAAGCAGCTGTTGACCAATAATACCCACAAAGGACTGTTTCAATATAACCGTCCTCCTTTTGGAGTGTAGACTGCTCCCACTATTTTTCAGCAGCTGATGGACACAATGTTGATTGATATACCAGGTTCCGCGGTTTACTTAGATGATATTATCGTAACTGGATCAGATGAACAAGATCCCTATCCCTATGCCAGACTGGATAAGGTTCTCACACGTCTTGGTGAATATGGTTTCCGAGTCCACCCTGGAAAGTGTATCGCCAGTATGTCGAAAATCATATACCTTGGTTTTATTATTGACCATTCTGGTCGACGGCCCGATCCAGACGATGTAGCAGCAATCGAAGCGATGCCGCCGCCGTCCGACGTACTGAGTTTACATTCTTTCTTGGGTCCGGTTAGTCATTATGGTGCTTTCTTAGCGGAACTCCATCGCACAAGGGCCCCACTTAATCGATTGTTGACTAAAGATGCCAAATGAACATGGACCACAGAGTGTTAACGGTCTTTTGAAAGAATCAAAGAATTGCTCGTTTCAGACCTACTTCTCACGCATTTCGATCCTAAACTGCCACTTGTGATGACAGCGAATGCATCCAATTACGGCATTGGTGCCGTGATATCGCACATTTTCCCTGATGGATCGGAGAAAGCAATCGCCCATGTAGCTCGTTCACTAACTCCAGTCGAACGGACCTATAGTCAGATTGAAAAAGAAGCCTTAGTCCTTATCTTTGCAGTGCAGAAGTTTCATAAATTTACTTACGGTCGACGTTTTACTCTGCTGACTGATCACAAACCCCTTCTCAGTATATGCGGATCTAAGAAGGCCATACCTGCATACACAGCTAACCGATTGCAGCGGTGGGCCACTACTCTCCTAGAGTACGACTTTTTGATTAAGTATCAAACAACTAGCTCTTTCGGGCAGACAGATCTCATAGTACGGTTGTTGAAGACACAGTGATCGCAACTGTTAACGTTGAGTCAGACATCAAGCGCAATATCACCGACGCTGTCCGACCCTTCCCAATAACCATAGATATGATTCAAGTGGCCACCAAACGCCACCATGTGCTGCGAGAAGTCATGAAGTTCATTTGACTTGGCTGACCCAGAAAGGACCTCAACCCAACGGTTTGTCAGTACGCTAATCGTCAGGAAGCGATATCAATAGTCCATGGTTGCTTAATGTTTGCTGAGAGGGTGAGTGTACCAGAGGTCCTCCGACAAAGAGTAGTCAAACAGTTATACAGTGGCCACCCGTGATTGAGCCGAGTGGAATCATTGGCCAGAAGCTACATTTATTGGCCCGACATGGACAGCGATTTATAGGACTATTGCCGAACTTGTCCCCGATGCATTCAAGGTGCCAAGATTCCTCCACGATGTGAACCGCACGATTGGTTTACGCCTGAGGCGCCATGGCAACGGTTACACCTGGACTTTGCGGGTCCGATCGACGGTCTCTATTATCTGATAATCGTAGACGCATTATCGAAGCGGCCAGTTATTTTGCGTGCGTAAGGCGTCTACCGAAGCTACCATTCAGCTGTTTCGGTCTACCTAATTGAATTTTGACGGAAGATGTTACGCAGTTCACTTCAGCTCTTTTTAATGATTTTTGTGTTCGGAACACGCTGACGCATATCCGGTCACAGCCGTACCATCCTAAATCAAATGGCCAACCCGAGAGATTTGTGGATACTTTTAAACCAGCGCCGTTGAAACCTCGAGGGGAGGGACCAGCGGACGATGTCATTCATGCTTTCCTAAGCAACTACCGCACGACACCAAACCCATGTACGCCTAATGGGAAGTCTCCAGCCGAACTTATGTTTGGGAGGAAAGTGGAGACATTGTTTGATACATTGAGCCCCCGAGAAATCAGAGAGCCCGGCGGTCAAATCCAACCAGGACAATTCGACGGCAAATATCGCTCTGGACGTATTTTTGGCCGTGGAGAATCCGTCCTTGTCAGAGACTACTCAGAGAATCGCTGGCGTTTGGGAGATGTATTGTGACGAAGAGGGAACACCGTCGATAAAGTAGCTGTTGGCGAAACAGTGTGGACTAGGCATGCTAATCAAATTCGACATTGCATACGACCCGATAAGATACGATACGATACGATACGATACGATACGATACGATACGATACAAGCAGAAAAAACGAAACTCCCGTTAGACGCACTCCTCGAAACGTTCGAGATGCAACCGAAAGATGAGTGAACGGAATCAAACATTGGCGCCAACCCATCTCCGTCGCAAAGAAGATCTGGACGACGAAGAATTGCAGTAAAACGGTTGCAGATAAATCCCAGGTTGCGAACGTACGATCTACCTCCAAAGGGAGGAAGTGTCAGGACGCGCCCAGACAGGAAAATTGCACATGTACACAGAGTGACGCTTCCCCAAGTTCACCATCGGTACGACACGTCCGGAAAGTAGGTGAGTTGGTGGCTCTTACCAAACACGGCTTAGCAACATAAGACCAGCGTAGTGGGCTTGAACACGGCCATTGGCTGTACAGAACGAACAAGTGAAGGACCACATTTGGCCATTTAGTTATGCTATTTAATTACCCAGACGCACTGTATGTTTTGTCTTGACAATACAGCCGTGTCCCGAGTTCTCTGTCTTCTCCCTATCGCGTAGTATCGCAGACTCAGTGCAGGCGTAACCCATTGACAGTCACCCGCGATACAACATATATATATATATATGTATATATGTATATATATGTATATATAAGCTGGACTTACCATCCTGTATTTTGAAAAGTGCACTCTTTGTCTCAGGACCACTGCCAAGAGAATTGCTGGCCATCACGCCGACAGTTAGCGGCTCACATTTGGGTAGGCCGGAAATTTCCGCACTATTTTCATTGGTTTTCACTTGTTTGAACGTTCCACCGTCTTGTGTGTATACGGACACGGAAAATTCGGGCGAACCACAATCGTCGCTATAAGCCCAGGTGACCGTCACACCAGAAATATTTGTGAGTACGTTTATCCTGACATCCTGAGGTTCACCTGGAACTGAAACACGGTACATATGTTTAGAATTTTCCAGTAATATAAATATATATATTTATGTATATATATAATCTTAAATGCTTAGGCTAATCACCAAATGTTTTAGGGGCAGTATTGAATAGGTTTTGTGGTTTGCGAGGAGAATCCCGACGGATTCAGTCCGTTGAATTAACAGCGCTCTCATTGTCAGTCAACAGACGTGCAAGGGTGTTAACCAATAATAACGGACAGATTGATGATAGCACGCTCTGTATGGTGCAAACCGACAGATGATTTGCACAACATATGAAAGAAAGCCAGTGACCAGTCCAACTGCCAATTTTACAACATCGCAGCTATGAACGAATCAAGCAACATGCTCTGGATCACTGGTCTATCAAATGTCACGTGGGGGACCTCATCATTGAGCTTGATTCCTGTTTGATCTTTATGCCAAACCCCACACTGCTTGTCGCGCTCTGCCTGTGGGGAATAGGTGAAGAGTATTAAAGTTCCTGGTGAACTAATCCGACGATTCTAACAAAATCCGTGTGATAAGTTCACGTTGAGCACCCAATCCATGTTTTATACGTGTAAGGTCCAGACGGACGAAGGGTCAGTGACAATGGCAGTGCTCTGAATTGTGACAGGTAAGATGTGAACAGTGTTTGGCAGTCTCACGTGTTAGCGATTCTGTTAACGAGGAATTAATCGAGCAATGACCACGTCCGAGAAAGTCAAAACGATGATGGTGTCCAAACCCCGCATGGCTCAACGTTCCGTATAGCCTCCAGGCTTTCTCCCACATGTCAACCATATGAGCGCGGCAAGTTACCGGTCACCGATATTTTCCAAGTTCTATTTCCATTCACATAGATCATCGGTTTGACCAGATCTATGAATGTTAACCAGAACTAAGGGACCGATGAACGCATTCAAACAAAGTCGAGTACATGACAACTAACAGGGCGCTGATGATGGATGCACTCGACAGGGGTTACGATCCACACTAGTACCCGACTCTGGGTCTCACAATGTAGATGGGCACAATGGTATGCAAACGACCGTTTGCCCTCGCAATTCCTCAGTAGACATCTTCGTCATTTTGGGTGCCCCTCGGTTGTTCGTTTCAGAGGTAATTCGAGAACAATACAAAGAACCGCATCATCTTGTCTGACGAACGCTTAGACGTCGATTTGTCTGCGCGTCGACGAAGAATTCCAGTAAAACGGTTGCAAATATAGCCCAGGTTACGATCGTACGATCTATCTCCAAAAGGGGGCAGTGTCAGGAAAAGAGCACATTTGCAGAGAGTGACGCATCCCCAAGTTCACCATCGGTACGACACATCCGGAAATAGGTGAGTTGGCGGCTCTCACCAAACACGGCTTTGGAATATACGACCAGCGTAATGGGCCTGAACACGGCCATGTAATGTACAGAACGAAGAAGTGAACGACCGTATTTGGCCATTTAGTCATCCTATATATTTACGCAGAGGCTCTGTACGTTTTGTCCTGACAATACAGCCGTGTCCCGAGTTCTCTGTCTTCTCCCTATCGCGCAGTATGGCAGACTCAGTGCAGGCGTAACCCATTCACGGCGACCCGCGAATCAAAATAAAGATTATGTATATATATACATATATATATAACATGAATCTAAAACATAAATGCCTGAACTAACCACGAAAACCTCCAGGGGATGTAATAAATAGCTCTGGTGTTTTGCGAGAAAAATCCCGACGTGATTAAGTCCGCTGAATTAACAGTGCTCTGATTGTCAGTCAACAGACATGCGCGAGTGTTAACCGATAATACCGGGGGGATAGATGATAGCACGCTCTGAACAAATGATTTGCACAACAGATGAAACAGTGCCGGCGACCACATCAAGAGCCAATTTTACAACATCGCATCTATGAACGAATCAAGCAACATGCTCTGGATCACTGGTCTAACAAATGTCACGTGGGGGACAGTTTCGCTGAGCTTGGTTCTTCTTGGATTTTCTGCCAAACCCCACACTGTTTGTCACATTCTGCCGGTGGGGAATAGGTGAAGAGTATAAATGTTCCTGTTGAACTAACCCCATGATGCTAACAAAATCCGTGAGACAATTTCACGTTGCGCACCCAATCCATGTTTTATACGCGTAAGGTCCAGGCTTAAGAAGACTCATTGACAAGGGCAGTGCTCTAAATTGTGAGATGAGATATGACTTGGGTTTCGCAATGTCACTCGACTTAACGAGGAATTCACTGAACATTGATCACATCTCAGCAAGTCGAATCGGAGGTGGCGTGGCTAGACAACGATGATGGTGTCCAAACCCCGCATGGCTCAACGTTCCGTATAGCCTCCAGGCTTTCTCCCACATGTCAACCATATGAGCGCGGCAAGTTACCGGTCACCGATATTTTCCAAGTTCTATTTCCATTCACATAGATCATCGGTTTGACCAGATCTATGAATGTTAACCAGAACTAAGGGACCGATGAACGCATTCAAACAAAGTCGAGTACATGACAACTAACAGGGCGCTGATGATGGATGCACTCGACAGGGGCTGCGATCCACACAAGTACCCGACTCTGGGTCTCACAATGTAGATGGGCACAATGGTATGCAAACGACCGTTTGCCCTCGCAATTCCACAGTAGACATCATCGTCACTTTGGGTGCCCCTCGGTTGGTCGTTTCAGAGGAAATTCGAGAACAATACAAAGAACCGCATCATCTTGTCTGACGAGCGCTTAGACGTGCATTTTTCTCCGGGTTTTTCAGACGTCTGGATTTGGAAGTGTACTCTTTTCTCTGATTACCGCATATTAGCTTTTGCTCAATTCGGGAATCTCCTCTATGTATGATCTCCTTATTCCAATCTCATCTACTTTCCAGTTCCTTTTCTCTTATATTTTTCACAATTTTCTTCACATTGTTGTCTTTTTCTACTTTATTGATACTCTCAGTCTCGCGTTAATTTTACCCGTTTAACGTGCATTACTATACCTTCTCTACTCTGGACAGATTTCCTGTTTGCTGCTTTGTTTTAATCCCGTCGCAGCCAATCTGTTTAGTTAATTGAAGCTGGTCGTCAGATTCCACACTTTTTGCACAGGCTTCACAAACATGTTCTCCTAAAATACCACCAATTCTGTGGGGACCGAGGTAACTCATCAGGCTCATAGCTCTTGAACTATACGTTTCAGTCGGGTTATAAGGTATTCACATTTTCTAGATATAATCTTAAGTTCTCACGCCATTTTCGGTGCTACTTATCGCCTGGTCCAAGTGGTTAGAGCGCGAGTTTATCGACCGGAAGTTCCGTGGTTCAAACCCGACTTTTGCCTCTCGACGTACCCTATCTAGCCTTGGATAACCCGGCACTAGCGCAGCCCTCGTGTAGCTTTTGGGTGGCATGGCAGTCAAGCCCCGAAAGCCTGCTACAGCTGAATGATTTTTTATTACCTGACAACGCCTTGATTTAAAAACTCATCACTATACAGGTGAGTGTCCTGGAAAATGTCATCCTTAATGGATATCTATTCTAGAATCACGATGTTTGCACATGGAACTCCAGATAAGTCAATCTACTCAGATCGAGAAAGCACCTACATTGTATGCAAACCATTTTTCTTTGACATCTACACTCCAAGTTTACTGTGATTGCCGGCTGTTTTATCTCACAATACCTGTAAAATTCTCTCTTCTTTTAGAATCCCAATTTGGCGCATCTAGAAATTTTGTTGATCGTATGGCAACATTAAGCATTTGTCCGTCACCAACTGCTTTGCCATTGGGACCATATGACCAAAGTGTGATCAAGAGACAGAACTGAATATGGGCGAACAACAAATTACCTGTTTGTATGGTGAAATGCATGCTAGTGATTGCACTGCTTGATCCATATTCGTTTCGCGCAACCACAGTGGCATACAATGATGCACACATTGGGATGTCGGTTAATGTGACGCTACGACTGCTTGTATTTAAAAACGTCACCATTGTCCCGTTTGTTGTTTTTACCGACACGTCATACGCGGTGGCGATGCAGCCTCCGCCATCCTCCCAAGTGATATTAGCAGTCGGCTCATTATCCTCGGTAGTCACACGAGGCATCCTGGGACGATTCGGGGCTGCAACAAATTAACGTGGTACATTTAACTCGCTACAAACAAGCGCAGTTTCCAATTCCGAATAGCAAAACTACTACCCCCAATCAATGTGATAGTCATGTATGACTTGTTTTGAAGTTTGATGTGGCTAAAATTTCAGGGCTGGTGGATAAATCTGCAAGCGAAGATGAACCAATATGGGTCGTGAAAAGCGTTTCTATAGAAGACGGAAGGTTTTGTGTGATATTATGCATGGCCACCTCAAGGAATTTTCTGAGAACGCTTCTCCACTCGTGCGCCTTTCCACTACTTCCCCCAGCATAGTGTTTTGAATTCTATTGGATGATCCGTAAAAATTCTGGGACTGATGTTCCCGTGCCTATCATCCAGCACAGATTTCTAGTCTCTTTTGGCTTTTCGGAAGACTCACCCAAAACCGAGCTGGATCTCTCGTTTGCGCATTCCATGGATATAAGGTTGTCGGAATCTCGAGGATGAGCTCCGAGAATGATGAAACCGTTGGTGGGCTGTCGAACATTTTTCAGCAACCTTATGAGTAGTGTACTGGGTCTATATACGTATCACGATATCTCGAATATCGGTCTGATGCAACACATTCAGTTGCTTGAAAACACCATGAAAGAGATTAATCTGGGTTCCATGTAAATACTCGTTTAATCAACGCCACCAAAGCGTCAAAAGTAAAGGACGAATTTGGCTTTAACTGTTGAATCTTGAGGGTATTTCGCCTATTATATTTCTCAAATGAACGTGCTTCACAAAGTCACCCAATATTTCAGTTGGCACGATATTCTAGATATCGCAGCACATTTTACCGAATGTCTGAATAGTGTGCTATTTGAGACATGTGGCGGTCTTTGCATATCACAATCAGTTGAACGATATCATAGATAAGAGTTGACACAAGTTTAAACTAGTCTAAATGAGTCTACTTCGTCAAACACCTACAGTTTGGTGTTCAAGACTGGACTAAACTCGGGAGAGCCCCAAGAATGGTTAAATTCGTGGCGAGCTGTGTTCATCTGTGTTCAGAGAAATCCTGTAATTTTGTTCACTTCAAGATCACCTTCGATAATGCAGATTTGAACTGGTCGCCCCAACGCCTGTACCAGAAGACTATTCGACTAATTCTCCGCTGCATAGTTATTGCTGAACCGTACTCTGTGGGTACGGTAAGCTCAAAGGTCACCAAGATGTACGCATCACATCCGACAGGATTTAAAATTTTGTTAGCAAAACGAACACTCTTCTATGATTCCAAAATCTGTTTGCAAGCAAAGATCCGACTCATTAGGGTATAACTATTCACTCCCCTAGAATGGTGTTCTTTGTATCTACAATCTGATGTCGATCTAGCAACGTCTGTTAACGTGTCATTCCACAACACCCTTAACTTGTTATTCCAGATTAAATCGTCCTACACCTGAGGGTACTTGCGCATTCCACTACCGCAAGCAGTTCTATGAAAAAAAAGCTGTGACCTCCATACTGCCGGTGTTGCCATGCAACAAAACATGCCAGGTTACTTTAACACTCAGAAGCAATCAAAGACGATCAGTTTTTGAAATTTCTCTGATCATCGGTACATAACTGAAAGTTACGTACCCGGCCCAAACTCCGGTATAACAATCGATGATGAACAGTTTCAATGCCCTGTTCCTACCACCGAACAATATGGAACAAGATAAATTCAGTACGATAGAAGCAAGGACAATGAAAACAACACAGAACCCTGAAACACAGACCAAGATTAATCGGTGAGAAATTATATGCGACTACCATAGTTTTGGATGGTGACAACGAAGGGAGCAATTCCTAGTCTACACAGGACACTTAGCGTGACTATACTGAAATAGTGACGGTGCGGTTAAAACAAACCGGTGGAAGGTGGGGCCCTTGCAAAAATAGCACGGTGATTGACGGAGCTCATGTGCACTGATACTTAAACGCTCGTTAACCACTCATCTCAAGGATTAGCTCTTGGGGGACGATTTCAGAGCAAAACAGTACACTCAACCTGGTGATGAAGAGGGACTATTAGGTCCGACATGAGGTACTTCTGGTCCGAGGCCACCCTCGAGTAGCTGAGTGAAAACAAACTGCAAACGACTGTTTCCTTTGAAGACAAACCCAGTTCTTTTTTAGTTCCACACAGTTGAAGGAGCTAAGAGAGCTTCCGTAATGCGACTTCTTTGGTAAATTAGAGCACTTTAATTAGGGACACCAGATACTTAAACAGCTGCAAAGACCTTTTGGGGATTACAACATCAGGACAAGTGGGACAGCCGTATTCCTCATTTTGAAAAAAAAACACAAAAATAAGAAAAATTCTCAGAAAGGAAAAACCTCTTGGCATATCAGATCACAGAAAAGTTCTCTAGCATCTAACCGACGTATTCCACTTAGTTAACTTCAGGCTGGCTACGGGAAATTAGGAAATAAGCCCCTGTCTTATTGGAAAAGAGCTGTGTGAATGGCCGACATCCGAAATGGACTTACAAATCTGCAGTGGATGGCTGCACGTATTAGGACAGTCACAAACACTGTGCACCGGATCGACTGTGGTAAATCCTTGGTGACGATGAAGACCCGAGAGAATAGCAGGTTCCGACCATAAATCGAAAGAATTTGGCCGCCAAAGGCGACACTAGCCCTATTCAACTAGAAAACTCACAGACGCCGTGAGGCCGTTGCTAGTGTTAGGAGGTTTGGGGAATCTAATAGAAATTTCGTTATGAAATTAAAGCCAGTCTTTGCTGAATAGCTGAAAAGTAATGTACAACTGTTTCATCCACATCGGCAGTGCACACACACATATCACGAGATTATAAGGAGCCACAAAAACGCCACCTTCCGGCTAGCTTTTGAAACAGTGGACCGTTCAGCTACGACAGCCTGATTAAAGAATATGACACACTCATTCTTCGATCACGGGATCCACATCACGTAATCGTAGGTTTTGACTGCCTCCTCGAGGGAAGACTTCTCAGATGGAACTTTTACTAAAGCAGGTGTTTATTCAAAACGGATTTACAAGTATTAGCGGGATACACTCATTTGCAAACTAATTTAACTTTTCGAGAGACTCACCTGGCACCAACTGAATCTGCCGTTTGTGATGTTTCCAGGTGACTGAATGTGCTGCACCAGACCGCCTCATGTTCCAGTCGTTACGATATTCGAGTTATCGCAAACGAGAGATTCAGTTGGGTTCCAGGTGAGTCTCTCGAGAAACCAAATTAATTTGCGGCTGCGCGTATTTCGCTAATTTCGTGCAATTTGGTTTCAAGTAGAACATAAGGTTGACGAAAACTCGGGGACTGCGCCTACCTGATGGGCCCCGAGAAGGGCGAAACCAGTCGTGGGCTGTTGATAAATTTTCGGCAGCCTTATGAGTAGTTTCACTAGTAATTCAACTAAATGCCTATGCAAGCTCCATCGGAATTGAGATCTCAAAGAAAAATACTCAGTCCGACTGAACCGAGGTCATGATGACCACAATGGACTAGATATTTTCGACTGGTTCATTCAATGTTTAAAAGTCGTAACAGTGGCGGCTTCCATGGTGTGCCTGTGCGAAAAAGCTGTAGAGTATTCCGGAATCCGTTTGAACGTAGGTCTTGCTGAACACTCAAAGCACTATGCAGCGCAGGTGTAGGGATGCAGAATGGATGGGTTGGTCGAGCCATAAAAGCGCCCATCCGCTGTCAACAGGAAAAGTACGGCGGCTACACTGTACGTATTAGTCGGAATCGAAGCGCTTACTGTTGGTGCCTGGAAGACAGGCTGTGGACTGCGCTGACAAGGTCGTAGAGTTCGGACAGGTTGCTCATGCACCGAAACGATCCCCTCGTGGAAAAATAACTTTTGTCGTTCGAAAACAAACTTGTGAAATATTGGGGTATTTTGCTTGAGTGGTTATTTTAAGCTATTCTGATCAGCGAAAACGTTGCTGTCTGAGGGTTTGAAATAATATTGCGTTGTCCCCCTTAACATGTTAATAATTCCGCGATGACACTGAGGCTACCGGTTGCTAGGTTCACAAAAGAAAACAGTGCTACTAGACCTCATCCAAAGGAAGCAAAAGTAACAACTGAAAAATTTAGTACACTAAGTTTAGTCTACTAAAAAGCCAAAAAGCGTCGCATGGCTTTTTTCCTAGACTTCTGACTGACCACTTGTGGCCGACTGGTTTACCTTTTTAACGACTAGTCTGAACACTATTAGGATAAATTTGCAGATCCGTTCAATACCCATTGCTGGGTTTTGGTTGAGCCGTTCTTTGCGACTTTTAAACACACACTGGCTTTACTCATGAGTAGAATCTCAGTAGGAACTTCCAGATCGACTCATTGTGCCATCTAACTTGTGCTTGGTTGGCTGTGTAATCATTTACTTCAGACTGATAAGATTTTCAGTTCCTACTTACTGAGCTTATTTAAAACAAATGCACTTACCTGCTAATAGATAAAATGCTTTGCTGAGCGCCTGCTGACTATCTTCCGAGCCGTCATGTACTGCTATCTTGATCTGTAAAGAGACGCATGCTGGCAATCCACGAAGAACAGTCTTTTGAACATTTGAATATTCGGTGTACACAACCCTGCCACCCTGTTCCAGCACGGTGACCACAAATTCTGACGAGGGACATAAATTCTCGTTTTTCCAGGAAACACGAACGCTGGAAGTATTCTCGATCGTCTCAACTTGAACATTATTGGGACCAGGGATAACTAGAAGGAAAAAACGTTGGAAGCACAGTTCTCAGATGAGATCAAAAGAGATTGAAAGCCAGATTAACAAAATAACGCCGAGTTGGTTGTGTGGGAATTAGAGCTTGAAGTAGAACGGTTGAGAGACAAAAGATAAAAGAAAGTCGGCAGATAAAATTAGCCCCCCCCCCCAAGTGTGCCATATAGAGGCATACAGATGGGGAGGAAGTATCCATCCAGCCGCGCGCTGACTTCTCTTTTGATCACGGAAAGTTTGCCAAACTCGGTGGACAACTGTCTGATCAACAACCAGTGGGTTTGCTTGAAACTCCATAATTGTGGCATTAATAATCTCATGAAAATCTGCGACTACTATAGGTTATATATACTTTGATTAGTGTTCCAAACAAAGAATCTTGTGGATAGCAAAGAGCTGACCTCCGTTATATTTAAAAAGATGAGAGATATCCTCCAAGGCTATCGGTCGTTGTAGCATTTTTATGACGCTATCATTAATCGGTTACTCCCAGAATAGGGTGTCGAGCAGTACGAAAAGTCGGAGATGATGGAATTGCGCTGGAAAATTTGCCGTAGGGTTCTTGGGATAAACAACGATTTGATAGAACACCGCTGTGGTGTGACATTTCCAGGTAGGAAAGGCAATAAAATGCAGCCATAATTTACAGTTATGTTAAGCGGGTTCCCACACCGAAAGCACTTTGGCGCTCTCAGGGGAGGCCACAACTTACGGGCCTTTCCCGTGATTAGTCAAAAGAACCGGGCTGTTTGTAGGTCCAGCACCAAGCTAAACTCTGATTAGCTGAAAGGGTAGAAGGCTCAGCAGCCAATCATGAACCGGTATCCGCTGCATGCCTGTTGCCAATACCGCATCCAGAACCTGTCGGAACTTGTACAATGTTGTCATTAAATGCACTTCATGTAGGATGCGTTGTACATGTCTTTTTGACCTGGCTTCGCACATTCGTCACTAATTGTACAACTTTGGTGGAAACAGAAATGCCAGAGATTCAGAATGAGCAATAAGCACAGTCGTTATCAGGATTGCCAGCTGTCACGGAGTTGTTCTGCAAGGACTCCGACTAGTAAGTTAGAGACACTATCGATTATTCAGGCAGATAAGGAGAGACACAGATCAGCCGAGTTAGAAAAATTCACAGATTTTAGCTCAAACTAGGGCAGATATAGAATGGGCGAGTTAATGAAGGCGCGAGAGCCCACAAACTCTCATTTGGATGTCGGTTTAGTATAGCAATTGATACCATCACAGGACGCCCATTTTTTCACACACGCACACACAAGACCGTAAAACAGCAAGGATAAGGAATCATCAGAGAATCAGAAGACAGGGTAGACCCAAAAACACAAGTGTCGATTATGTTGGTTCCAACGAGAGACACCGCATAGCATCATCACAGCAAAGCTGATGAATCAGTTGACTTGTGAAGGGTACAAAATTGAGGGAGAGGGTACATTGTATTCCCGAGCTACGAGAAAGTTGACTTAATGAAAAAAATTCTCTTCAAAAGCAGCAAGCCCGTGCGTTATTGTTTCGTTCTACCCAGTCACTTTCGGCATCTGAGTAATGTGTCCTAATGCAACGATGTGATTGTAGAACCACGGCTCACTTGTTCATCAGTCCTGTCTTTTCCCTATCCCAGTGGTAAAACACTCGAACCTCATTCAGGGAGTTTCTTTCGCACAGGCAAGCCGTTTTATTCCTATTTACCCCCAAAGTTATGATACCTGCAATTCTGAAGACGCATTTTTTTTACCCAAAAGTCTTTCCTCACATTTATGGAAGAAGACTGATTAACTGCCTACCCTACTGAGATAATTCACTCAGAAATCTTCTTGATACCATCTAGTGGCGCAGTATGCGTTGTGAATAAGTATTCCGCCAGAGAGGGCTTCCAGTAACCTTAGAAAATCTCATTGGTTGCAAAATATACCTTATCCAGTGGTATTTTAGTGAGAGATATAAGGAAATCAGCTTAGTGGTTCAGTTAGGCCCGATCGCCCCAGTAGACATATGAAAGATTCTTTATTCTGCGAACTTTTCTCACGCTGGTTATTCGAAAGGGCTTCGTCTACTGTTTCAAACATTTCTTATTTGTGAATTTAGTAGAGACGGGCATTGCGATTAAAACTACACGAATGATTCGGTTTTTAGGGCGGGTCATCGGAAGTTTGCTTGCAGTGCTATTCACTCTCGTGGATCACTGGGTTTCCTTTCATGCTTTAGTGTGATCAAGATGACATAAAGACTTTCTTGATAGACTGGTAATTCTAACCACCCCGTAGCCACCTCAATCATGTGGATAAACGCGTGTGCGCGTGCAACAGTAATCATGACCAGTCATCCAAAAAGGAGAGTTAGTTACGTTGTGATAGTTGGAGGTCACCGAAGGTCCAGGTGCATTTTGCACCCTTCCTGTTGGTTATTCCTTACACACTCAATGGGTGGATTTAAAAAAACGATTTTAATTACTGGTTTGAATAAGAAAAACCTACGGCTCATCAAGGCTACAAGTTATGGAAATGATCACAAAGGCCGACGAGATTATCAGCAACCGGTCAAACGTTAGACTATATACGGGCACAACTTTTCATATCGAATGACTACCAAGATATGCGTGCCGTTAACAGAGCGTCAGGCCGTAGTGTGAGGTCGTAGTGTCGATTCTTCGTTGGTATTCGAGAATATCTCGATCCACTTGAAAGGTAATTTGGCTTAAACCTACGCTATTTCGATACAACAAGCGAATGGGACTAATAGTCATTCTGGTAGAGTAAAAAAATCACAATTTACCTGCCGGTATTGTGAAGAGATTACTTTGTCTTTGTGAACCCGATCCTTTGTCGTTTTGTCCAAGCACAGTAGCGAAAAATTTTGTACACTTTGGAACATTGCTTATCGTAATACGGTACTGAGTGGTATTGAGGTTTGCTTCTATAGAACCGTCCGGTCTGCGCAGTTGAACCAGAAAAACAGAGGCGGCGCAGCCGTAGCCAGATTCCCAGGAAACATCTACACTTGAGTCCAGTTCATTCGGCTCCACCCGTAGGTATCTTGGAGGACCTGGGGCTGCAACAGATCGGATTAGTTAGCTTGAAAACGAAACTTTAAATTCAGGATAGAGACATCATGATTTTATTTGTATTTGGTTCTAACCACAGGTTTCATCTAAAAAAAGTGGTAAAAATAGTTCCACTATCGAATATCTGTAGCCGTTTGTTTTTGATGATCGGTCCACGGAGAGGTATGGCTTCTCAGAGTTTGCTTCATGCTCCAACCTACAACTAATAATTCTCAATCATTGGTTAACCACGGGCAAATCTTGACTATGCATTAGTTACAAATATCGTTTCATTTTGATAAGGTGTGTGGTCCCCAGTTCATTTAGTAGCCCAAAGCAAATTGAAGCCTACTCCAGTGTTTTTCCCAGATGCGAATCACCGCCTTGAAGAGATCAGTATGAAATAGTGAAGTTACTAAAAATGCGGCCATATTGCGGCGTTACGATTAAAGCTTTCTGTTTTTCAACCAAATGAGTGCTAACTATTCACGGGTTTTCACACTGATGTCACTGATGTACGTTTTACTAATTGTGCCCATTGGGACTAGGTTTTTCATCTTTGCTTTTTGTTAGAGAGAAACTTCACCATCGTGCCATGGCGGTTTTCAGATTAGCTTGCATCATCTCTGGTGAGCTGCCAGCTCATCAGAACCATTGAGCCATCCTGGATAATCCATGGGGATGGAAAGTCATTGTATCTTAATAAAATTATGGACGCAATAAGTGGAGTTGAGTCACTAATTGTATCAGCTGTCGACTTCTTTCCGTACTTGAGCCGCTTTTTTTCAATTTCACACTGGTTTTCGAGGTCATTCGACTATGGACAAAATACCCATCCCGCAAAACCCCAAAACTATAACCGAAAAGTTTTCCATGTGTCACGCTATCTGACTGGGAATTCCTGACTGGCGGGTCAATCGATCGTCACAACCAGGACAGTTATCGGGTCGTAGTTCGATGGGTCGGGCACACCAATCACATCGCTCATGTGTGAAGGCGTCGGCCTGTTCAGACATGAAAATTCAGGTGCGTCCAACGTGCATTGGTGGAGTAGTGGTTACACGCTCGCCTCGCATGTCAGATATCCAAAGTTCAAATCCTGGCACGGCCATTGGATATGCGCTGCTGATGAGCTCTGATAAGAGCGAAACTCCAGTCCAGTGCTTCCCTTTGGTGTGGACTCACCGGATAATTACGTCAGTACAGGGAATGGTGTGGCTATGAACATAATACTGATTAATTTGTGCTTGAGGTCTATCGGACTTCTTACAACACCAGTGTGTCTATACGTCTCAATTCCTTCAAGCCCTATCTGGCTGAACTTACCTGAACATATACCCTAGTACTTTAGATGTGGGGAAATGTATCCTGGAGATCAAACCATTCTTGAGTCAAACGCCATGATTGTCAATGACAAAGTATATGGTGTTGTAATGTTACGTAGCAGCCTTATCGATTGGAACAGCTTCAGTGGACCAGTAACTGGGATCGCTTCGGTGGTGAGGAAAGCTTAGAGAGCACTGTAAGAATAATCGGTTTAAAGTGGAGAAAAGATTGTCCTTAAATACGCTGGTTCGAAACAAATTGCTTCATGGCTTCCAAGAACAAACGAATGCTTGGAACGGATTGTAGGACAAAATGATTGCGATCCCTTATTTCAATGCCTAAGAGTTTCAAACGTCAAGTTCTTTTGCGATGAAATTTAGCAGGACTTGACCAGCCGTATCTTACTGCTTACAAAGAAGATTACTCTTAAATCCTCAGTGCCATTTCGATGTGATCTTGTCCAAACCTCTCCCCCGACCATTCAGCCGAAGAACAAGGAATCCCTTGAAATTCGTTTAATTTTAGAATTCACTGTAGCCAAACTATAAGTTTACATGTTGGTTTCAACTAATCCCAAACGGTAGATTAGTATTCCTCATTAGGCCTGCCCGGAAAATAAAACAAAACCAGCAGTAGACCGTCGGAAAATTTCACTCATCTTCACCGGACTACTCAGGTTAGACTCCGGCACATGAAAACATGTGACTTAATATCGAAGAATAATCCGTCATACAAGACAAAAACGCAGACGCAAATGTTGTTTCCTGACAAAAAGCTGTTCCACATCCCTACTACTGACTTAATTTCACGGTTAAGCAGCACATAGTTACCTGTAATTAGAGTAAAGCGTTCACTGCGAGCCTCTGGGCTAGTTCCCTGTTGATTGTGTGCCGTAACGCCAATAGTCAAAGGGACACAACCTTGTAGTCTATTAAAAACTACAGTTTGTTCACTCGTAGATTGTGTGCCCACGAGCAGGTTCTGCTCATTGTACGTGTCCACTGTGAATCGGGTCGTACCGCATGTAACATCAAACGTCCAAGAGGCAGTCGCACTGGACGTGTTCACCACTGGTTCGATGCGAATGTTTTCTGGAGCGCGGGGAGCTGCAGGGGAAGAATATCGAGGTATATATATATATGATGACAGGAAAACCTGGAACAGCTTGTTTTGCGTCACGGTAAAATCATATCTCGGCAGCAGAAAGGTTAAAACTATAATCCTGTGTTTTTATGCTTTGCTTAAACAATGAGTTGTGCTTTACTTCGACATGGATACTGACTCGTCAGGATGTTATTCATTCTTGGTACAAGGGTATTTGTCTCCCACATACTCTGACTGATAGACAAGGCTAGGTATAGTCAGCAAGAATAACCTCGAATTGCGGGGATAACCGTGGGCAGGTCATCCAGTTTTTCCTGTGGTGTTTTTTTTTCAGTGGTTTACTTCAAGAGGTCGTTTAAATTTTCCACAACCGGGCAACACGATGAGGACTAGGAATCCACGTTTGATTTTACAACCAATGTCTGTTAATGAGATATGCTAATGGAAACTTAAACGTATGTTTTTGTATATGTGTGGGGTTCCTTCTTTTACACGACCCAATCAATATTCTTCCAACGTGTATCAGCAATATATAAACTGGGCGAACAACCGAACTGTTTGCTGAAATTTGACTTTGTTATCAAACCGGGGAAGAGATAAATTAATGCTTCAATCCAAGAAAGAGTTAGGATTCCCAAAGCTGTTCACAATATAGACACTAGATATGTCGAAACATGTGACTTAGCGAAAAAATGTCCATGTAACATGATTGGTGACACAAAGGCACCCTGCTACCTTTATCATACGAGCTTAGTTTTCTGTTTGTACCTCTCAACAAGCGACCCCTCAGCCCAGCAACAGCCTAGGCTGATCAAAGAAGGCGTTCACGGACATGGATTAAACCCTGAGATATGTTGGAACACAACGTTGTACACCTTTCAAGAAGCCACTGGAACGTCGTGTCAAATTTGGGCGAAATGTCAACATAACACAAAAGTACCCTTCTCGAGTGATATTAGCACATTGAGCAGGGTTGAATCTGTTTTTTTCGGACGTAACACACTACTCATGAGCTTGCTGAAAGCTCTTCAAGAGTCAGCGACAACCCCGCCTACTTGCGGCTCATCAGGCAGACACAACTCCCAAAGTCCCACCAAACCTACGCTCCACTTCAACCCAAATTAGATAGATTTCGACATTTAAAGTGAGGCACCATAAAACGGAAGATTAAGCTGGATTTATTTAAGTCTCATATCCAAAACCGAACTTGTGTGTAAATGGAGGTATCCGTCGGGGAACAAATCTTGTTCACTTTCGCAATGCGAAGATCCTTTGTATATTCAACTGCGACATGAAGATAGGGGGAATGGCCGAAGTTACGTTTGTATCTACTAATTGGTAACTGATGGTAGTTATTCGGAAATATTGTATGAATTTTCCATGGAAAGTAGTTAGACACTAGAGATTAGCTTATCCTCTTCTGCGATATATGCTAACATGGTGAACCGGTTCTTCGAATAAAAAATGTCGGCGCAGTGTTCTCCAAACAAAACTTGTGACCTAATCCGCAGTCGAATCCCCAGGTAGGCTGGTTGCTTCACTAATGAACAGCTTTCTGCACTCAGTTTCTTGAGGCTCTCTTGTTTTCCCAAAATAAGGAAATCAATGGAATTCTGGCAGCGGCAAACAGCCAGTTACACTAAGTCTGGTGTAACACACTCCAAACTATCTTTTTACCTGGCTATCAGGTATCAGAGGAATCAGTATCAGGTGTCGTCATTCATCGAATGATGAGTCTAGTTGCGTAGCCCAGAAGGAACGACACTCCTTAACTGAGGCTCTCCATCGGCAATTGATAGCCACATGGTCTTAACGAGTCCACAACTGTCTTGCGGTTGGCAGCTTCCAAGAAACTCGATGTGATTGTTTGTGCTGGACGTTTGTACTGACCAGGGACAGACGGTGATCCACACACACCTGAAGTGATCGCTTCCGATTATCCGTACGCCGAGTATCGACTCTAAACTTAACAACTAAACGTACCTCTTTCGGACTCAGTCGTCCAACTTGGGCACCCACCAGGGTCACTATATCCGTTCTTATTGCTGGCCGAAGCATTTGTGACAGATCTTGATAAAATCCCTTCTTTTCAGCCTCAGAACCGCCGTCTGTCGGTGCGCATTCTGATAGGACAAATAAACACCGTTTAGCGCATCGACCTGCGTTGATCTTAGTTGGACGAAAGGACCGCACGGTGAAAAATGACTATCTGCTAGGATTCAGCCCGGTAAGAATTTCTCAGCCTTGGAGTGAGTGAAGCTCGTACACCGAGATATCAGGATCACCGGATATCCGAAGAGCGATATGCGGGACATCCAAGCTCATCTTAAGCATCCTGAGGGGCATAACAGAAGTGGCTGTCTTGGATGCGGGTTTCGGACACACAAGAACAATCACAGAAAACAAGCTTTGTTCCCTACCTTCTTCGTTCTCATGACTACAATGGGTATATTCAGCCGCCTGACACAAGATTCGTTGACAGAAATAAAAAGCGAGGTCTCAGTAATGGATGCTTGTTGCCCCATTTGACAGAGAATAGGAACATTGAAAGCCACAACGTAGATCAGATCACTGGAAGTTGCTAAGTGGCCATTTCGGTTTTTGGGTAGCTGTTTAGATACAGAAAAACGGCTATCAACTAGCAGGTGGATTGATCGCACCACGTTATTCGACGAGTGGGACGGGGATAAGAAGGAAGATCGGTGAGTCAAGAGCTGCAAGCGCAAATGATTCTTCCCGGTTGCCCAAGCTGAAGAAGGGGGTTTGGTTGGGATAGCCTACTGTGATCCTCTGACTCAGAAGTCTGATCTGCGAGGCAGCGGTTGTTAGGATTTTCTTGGAGCACCCTTCCCAGAGCCAATGACTCAAAATTCCGACCCACTTGGTTGCAGGGGACCGGCCTGGACCGAGTGAGCAGGTCCAACCGAATCCTAATATAGTTGCACACAAGAGGTGATTTTGAGCACCACCAGACCGTGGCGGCAGCCACGGTCAACTGTTGAACAAACGGAATGTGCGGTTTTTGAGGCCACCTTTTTACAACCCGTCCTTCTTCGAGGGAAGGTAGCACCACTGCCCACATAAACATAAACATGCTGGTCGCCTGGAGGAGACGCATGACTGTCTTCACACTGCGGCCTACAGGGCAGTACGACTTTATCCCCAGACCGCCTCGTAATACGATTTTTCGCAGCATGGGCACTCGCTGTTCCTTATCAAGCTGCTCCTTGTTGGACTTCATGGCATGGTTGAACCTTTACGAACCGAGTTCCAGCTACCATAGCCCGCAGGATAATTGTAGCACGGAAGTTTGACCACCATTACAAGGTGACAGCTTTAGGTCGGAGACAACCTTGAAATGGGTGTAGCCATTTCTACTTTCCTACAGCAACACCTTCCACAAATACCTGGGAAACAGCCTTCATCTAACTATGCTTCTGAGGAAGAGATCTGTGCATTCTCACACCTTCCTCAACAGAATCACTTGGAAAGATGTGTGACGTCAAAAACTCAGTGTACGTTCGGGTGTGACAGGGTGTGACCACTAACATGGGCCACCAGCATAATACACTTATATTGCAGGAAG